AATACGGTCCGTTTACGGTGTCGTATGAAGCAAATTTACGGTGAAAATACGGATAGCCGTATCCATAGACTTGGGATGGAAACGATGATGATATACAATCGTGTTCACAACAATGGACAAAATATCCTCAATTTAAGGGCGACTAAAGATTTTATTTTTATGTATTTATGTATTTATCTATTTATTTATTTTTCAATAAATGTAGCAATTATGAATGAATCTTTTTTTTGATAATACTTTCAATTTCAAAAATTTCCTTCTAGAATTCATGATGAATTTCCAGAATGCTCCAATTGTTTCATCATTTTCAATATCAACAACAGCAACAACAACAATTGATAATCAAATAAAGAATAATTTAATTGGAAGATCACTATGGTTACCACATTTACCATCAAAATTTAAAGATAAACAAATTTTACAAAAAGAAAAATTAAAATTAATTGCAAAAAAAAAATAAAGCAGCTACAGCATAAACATCAATATTAAAAAAAATTAAAATTTATTTACGGATCTTATACATACATCAAAATCAACATTAACAATACAATAATCAACAAACATTATCAACAAATCGTACATTAACAAATAATAAAAATCATATTGATGATGAAAATCTTGAACAACAACAACAAATAATAACAATTGATGATATATTAAGACAAATATCAAATATTATTCAACATGGAGAATATTTACCATTATATCAATTTATAATTGATCGTTTATCAGGTGGTGGTAGAAGTTATTTTGTTTTAGATTTTGGACAACAAGTTACATTAACTGATATATTAGTACCATCATGTCATCAATTAGCATCATTGACTTTTGATTTTTGGTCATATGGTCAACATATTGATTGTCAACGTTTATTTTCTTCAACACATATCAAATCAACCATTTTCTTTTTTACATGATTTACAACCACCTATTATAGCACGTTATATACCTATAACGTTAATTCGACAATAAAATATATCTCTATCATCAATACGTGTACCAGTTGGATATGGTTTTGCTTATCCATATATATTAAATGATGATAATGATAATATTAATAATAATAATAATAATGAAAAATATGAAAAAAAAATTAAAATCAATTGAAGGTATTTATCAAACATTAATATGAAATTATGCATTATCTAGAAAAGAATTATTTAATTTATTATCATCAACAAATAGTATTGAAAAAAATTTTATTGAAAATATTTATTATCAATCTATACAATTACAAATAGAAATTAATCATCCTAATTGACAAATAAATCAATCTAGAAATATTTTTAAAATCGATCATATACAAATTAATTATCAACAATCAACTAAGTGATTATTTTAAATTATTACCAGATTTATTAACAAGTCAATTAACATCATTATCAGGAATTATGCAACAAACAGACAGATAAATCATATATTACATAAAATATAACATAATTATATTCTGTTCTTTGGATATATCATATGAAAATCTATCAATTAGGATATAGAGTACGTGAAAACACGAAAATAGACGATTTTATCTATGAAGGATACTTATCAATATCTATGATAAAAATTTCAGCCCGATTGGATAATGTTATATGGTGGATGTAAACAGGCAGAATTGAGGAAACTGGTGTTTTTGTGTTAGGTCAACAAGGGAACAACCTGAAGCGATACTCGCCGTTTGAGCTTATATTGGGTTCACAAGAAGGTTTCTCTAAGACTAGAAAAACCCTAAAAAGAGTTTATCCCCATGAGTCTCCGGAGTCTAGTTATGACAGTTTTAATCAATTTTCGATCCAGTAAAACGGTCATAAATCAGCTCCAGAGGCCGATGGAGACGAACTCTTTTAGGATTTTTCAGGTTCTACCGAGACTTCCTTGTGAACCTAGTATGATATCGAACGGTGGGCATCAGTTCGGCTAGTTTTCTTGAAAGACAAAGAAAAGAATTTCTTAAATTGAATAACTCTATTATATTGAGATGTTTAGAGTCAAATTATGTCTCTAATTGCACATGTACTTTACGAGCAGCTCGAAATTGAGTTTTTGGTCAAAAAATGAGAGAAGTATCCTTAAGACTACCGAGACTTGATATATTTAAGTGTATTGCAATTTTCATAGGCTTTTTTTTTCAAACCTAACTCTTCTAAGTTTTATTATAAAAAC